TCCTCCTCCTCCTCCTCCTCCTCCCCTCCTCCTCTTCGGACGCGCTGGGGAGCCTATTGGGGCCCTCTTGGGCTCCCTTAGGGCCCTCGGGGCCCTCTTGGCCGTATTGGGGCCGTCAGGGGGCCATCTTGGACCGTTTTTAGGCCCCTTTGGGGCGCCTCTGGGGCCGTCTTGGGATGATCTTTGGGGCCTCTTAGGCCGTCTTGGGCCCGTCTGGGGCCGTTTTGGGCCCGTTTGGGGCACCTTCGGGGCCGTCTTGGGACGACCTTTGGGGCCTCTGGGCATTCTTGGGCCCGTCTGGGGAAGAAGCGGGCCATGGGAGCCGCCCGGGAGCCGCTTCACTCGAAAAAATACGAGGGAAACGGGCCATTAGACCATTCCGTCCCCGCCTCGCACCCCCCCTGGACCCCCCTAAGAAGGGCTTCGCCCCCTACTCAACGTCACTCGCTCGTACCTCGCTCTTTCCGTCATCCGCCGCCCCCTGTCGATTCATCGCAGGGGTGCCTGGCGTGCTAGATCCTCTCGGTTTTGATTTTGTTTTTTTTTCCGAAAGAACTCCCCCATGGGGCTTCGGCCCGTCTCGCCGGCCATCCGGAAAACCCATCTGCCAATGCTTCTGTTGCCCCAAGATGGCCCAAGACGGCCTCCAAGACGGCCAAGATGGCCCAGGATGGTCTCCAAGATGCCTCCAGGACGGCCAAGATGGCCTCGAAGAGGGCTGAGATGGCTCCAAAATGCACCCAAGACGGCCCAAGATCAAGATGGTCTACGACGGCCCAAGAGGCCCGCAAGAGGCCTCCAAGACAGCCCAAGAGCCCTCCCAGACGGGCCAAAATCATTGATGTTCCTTCGGTTTTTGAAGAATTCTGGCATTAACGCCTTTTCGGCTTTCCGACGGCCCAAGACGGCCCAAGAGGCCCCCAAGATCGCCCAAGAGGCCCCCAAAAGGGCCCCATGACGGCCCAAGTGGCCTCCAAGACGGCCCCAAGAGGGCCCCAAGACGGCCCAAGAGACCTCCAACACGCCCAAGGTGGCCTCCAAGACGCCCAAGATTGCCTCCAAGACGGCCCCGAAGCGCCCCAAGAGGGTCCCAAGTCGGGCCAGAAAGGCCCCCAAGGCGGCTCCCGACGGCGTCAGACGTGCCAGGAACCCACCAAGATGGCCGAAGTTGGCTCGAAGTTGGCCCAAGACGGCCCAAGAGGCCCCCAAGAGGGCCTCCAGGAAGGCCAGAAGAGGCCCAAAACATTGTTGTTCCAAAGGTTTTTGACGGATTCTGACATGTGCTTCTTTTCGGCCTTCCGACGGCCCGAGACGGCCCAAGAGCCCCCGAAGATCGCCGAAAGATCGCCCAAGAGGCCTCCGGGATGGCCCCAGAACGGCCCAAGAGGGCCCCAAGACGGCCCCAAGAGGCCCCCAAGACGGCACAGGAGGCCTTTAAGACGCCCAAGATGGGCCTCCAAGACGGCCCTGGAGCATTCCAAGAGGGCCCAAAATCGGCCCATAGAGGCCCCCCAAACGGCTTCCGACGGCGTCAGACGGACCAGGAGCCCACCAAGACGGCCGAGCATGGCCCTAAGATGGCCCAAGACGGCCCAAGAGCCCTCCAAGAGGGCCTCCAGGAAGGCCCGAAAAGGCCAAAATCATTTGTTCCATGGGTTTTTGAAGGATTGTGGCATTTACTTTTTTCTGCCTTCCGACGGCCCGAGACGGCCCAAGCGCCCCCACAGGTCGCACAGGAGGTCCAAGACACGGCCCCAAGAGGCCCCCAAGATGGCCCAAGAGGTCTCCAAGACGCTCAAGATGGCCTCCAAGACGGCCCAAGAGCCCTCCAAGACGTCCTCCAAGAAGGCCCGAAAGGGTCAAAATGGCCTCCAGGCGGCCAAGATGACCTTCAAGATGCCCACGTGTTCCCCGAAGGCTTTCCAAACCGATTCGGGGAACACAAGGTCCAATAGCTTGGCAGGTCTGGCCTCCACGTTCGGCCACATAGGCACTTCCAAAAAGGCAGGGGGCGGCGGTGATTCGCCGTAAGCGTCTTCGATCCGCCGCCCCCTGTCGATTCATCGCAGGGGTGCCTGGCGTGCTAGATTCTCTCGGTTTTGGTCCCTGGGCCTTCGACGCGTCCCGCCGGGGTCCCGGGAGGCTCTTCCGGAGGTGGTTGCCGTGGGTTCTCCTGCCCCAGACGGCTCCAAGATGGCTCAAGATGGCCTCCAAGATGCTTCCAAGGCGGCCAAGATGGCCTCCAAGACGGCTAAGATGGCCCCAAGATGCCTCCAAGACGGCCCAAGATGCACCCAAGACGGCCTAAGACGGCCTTAAGCTGGCCCAAGACGGCCCAAGAGGCCCCGAAGGGGCCTCCAAGACAGCCCAAGAGGCCTCCAAGAGATCCTCCAAGAGGGCCCGAAGAGGCCCCAAGAGGCAAAAAGAAGGCCGAAGAGGCCAAAAGATTTTGGCAGTTCCGCCTTTCCGGCTTTCCGACGGCCCAAGACGGCCAAAGAGGCCCCCAAGATCGCCCCAAGATCGCCCAAGAGGCCTCTAAGACGGCCCTGGAGCACCCCAAGAGGGCCCCAAGTCGACCTAGAGAGGCCCCCCAAACGGCTTCCGACGGCATCAGACGGGCCAGGAGCCCACCAAGATGGCCGAAGTTGGCTCGAAGCTGGCCCAAGACGGCCCAAGAGGCCTCCGAGAGGGCGTCCAGGAAGGCCAGAAAAGGTCCAAAACACTGGTTTCCCTCCGGTTGTCCAAAGGATTTTGACATTTGCTTCTCTTCGGCCTTCCGACGGCCCGAGACGGCCCAAGACCTCCCAAAGATCACCCACAGGTCGCCCAAGAGGCCTCCAAGATGGCCCCAGAACGGCCCAAGAGACCCCCAAGACGGCCCCAAGAGGCCCCCAAGACGGCACAGGAGGCCTTTATGACGCCCAAGATGGCCTCCAAGACGGCCCTGGAGCAGTCCAAGAGGGCTCCAAGTCGGCCCATAGAGGCCCCCCAAACGGCTTCCGACGGCGTCGGACGGGCCAGGAGCCCACCAAGACGGCCGAGCATGGCCCTAAGATGGCCCAAGACGGCCCAAGAGAAAGAGGCCTCCAAGAGGGCCTTCAGGAAGGCCCGAAAAGGCCAAAATAATTGATTTCCCATCGGTTTTGCAAGGATTGTGGCATTTGCTTTTTTTCTGCCTTCCGACGGCCCGAGACGGCCCAAGTGCCCCCAAAGATTTCCCAAGAGGCCCAAGACGGCCCCAAGAGGCCCCCAAGACGGCCTAAGAGGTCTCCAAGACGCTCAAGATGGCCTCCAAGACGGCCCAAGAGCCCTCCAAGACGTCCTCCAAGAAGGCCCGAAAGGGTCAAAATGGCCTCCAGGCGGCCAAGATGACCTTCAAGATGCCCATGTGTTCCCCGAAGGCTTTGCAAACCGATTCGGGGAAAACAAGGTCCGATAGCTTGGCAGGTCTGGCCTCCGCGTTCGGCCACATAGGCGCTTCCAAAAAGGCAGGGGGCGGCGGCGATTCGCCGTAGGCGTCTTCGATACGAGAGGAGGGATGAAGAGGAGGAGAAGGAGGAGGAGGAGTGGAAGGAGGAGGCGGAGGCGAAGGAGGAGGAGGAGAAGGAGGAGAGGGAGTAGCAGCACGATGATATCATCGTATAGCACCGGGGCAGAGAACGATGAGGGAGGGGAGCAGAGAGAGGAGCTGCAAGGAGAGGAGTACGATGACGTCCTCATAAAGTTTGGTAACCATCGCGAAAGGCAGACCGAGTTCGGCCAGATAGGGGGACAGGAACCTGCCATCTTTGACGTGGTCTGACAGGGTGCGCTTGGCGAGGAGCTTAATGACCCTGTCGTCTATGCCCACATCGGAGCCTGGCTGCACCAACTCACGCAATCGAGATCTGCTGAGGGTGATGACATCGTGGATGCGGGTATCCGGACATGGGATCGAAGGAACCATGTTAATGCTACACTTGTCTCGCCACAACGATCACTAGCCACATGGCTCCGAGAAACAGCCGAAGGGCAGGCAGCGGAAACGCTCTCGTGCGCCGCAACGACAGGACACTCACAGATACATCTGATTCCGAGCACGAGCGAAGAGCTTCTGAGGTAGAGGAACAGTAACGAATTTATAGAATAACCAGGTGGCACGAATAACGTATGTGCCGAATCAAAATGCGTATGTGTGTATCCCGCCAGGCGCATGATTTGCCAAACATGGTTCGACACCACAGATTGGATGAACCCCGACGTCGAGGGACAAATTGTTCAACGCCACTTAGAGGTCGCAGAAAGGTGTGGTAAATAGGCATTCCGCTAGCCAATTCCAGGGGATTCTCCCTGCACTCGTAAGAATACTGCTCCCAGGGCCACGAAATTATCTAAATTCGGCACGGCCCTCACACATGTCCTGCACCCTCAGGCCCTGAGACACGTACAACGCTAGGGATTCGCGATCAAGTCTTCTGGGAGTCCCAATTCGGCACGCCACTCGCGCACTTCGTGCATCATGGGTGCTTAGATAGCCCGAGAGACTGCTCCTTGGGGCCTCAAGTCGGCACACTCCTTACGCACATGGTGCCAATGGACCTCAGAAGGGGGGGTCCGCTGGCCTTCAAGACGGGTGAAGGGAGCCTCAATCCGACACACCCCATTACGCACTTCGTGCCTCATGGGCCTCCAGGGGCCCTGAGCTGACCCTCAGACGGTTCCAGGGAGCTTCGTCGCCCATGGATCTCCGAAGGCCGTCTGCTGGCTCCTAAAGCCGAGTACCCCCCCAAGGTTTGCCAAGGTGGCCCCGAGAAAAACTGCTACGAGTGGCATCGACCCTCGTCGAAGCCATGCCCCGAACACCCACTAATTGCAAAATCTGCGTGCGAGTTTCCCACGGGGGGCCCACCGTGAGTCCCGCCCTGCGGGCTCAACAAAAGCTCCCTAATCAGGCGACGGGGAAGACCCACGCCCTGCCCCACTCGACCGGCGGCCGGCCAGGAGCCATGCCGACCTGCCCCCCCACCATGCCTCTCGAAAAACCAAACAAAGCGTACTCTGCTTCCAAGGCTTGGACCATGCGCGGGGAGCCCGCGATCGCTTCACATTGTTGTTTTGACTGGGACGGCGCGTGGGCAGCATATTGCCTGGTGCATATGAACCTGCAATCCCTGACAAAAGCCACGCAAAGTGACATGAGCACCCGCGTGCTGTCTGGGAGCGCGCAGGCCCACCATCCCCGTCAAAAATAAATGCCAAGTGGTTGCGGATGCACACGCCACGCACCATGCTGATCCCCCCGCCGCAATTCCGCATGGGACTGCGACAAGAATGATAAGGGCGAGGGGGGGTCCATATGTTCCCTGATGTGTCTGGTCGCCTGTGCTCGCGCAACTGGCACCGAGACCCGGGCATGAAGTTTGCAGTGGAAGGGCATCTGGGAGTGAGCGAGGCGGCTTGCGGCCGTCCTTCGAGGTAGATTGGTCCCTCGCCCCCGTACCCACCCCCGTCTGGTTGAGGAGGGGGCGCGATGCGGCAGAGGGTCTGTGTTGGCCCAAGACGGCTCCAAGATGGCCCCCGACGCCCCAAGATGGAGCCCAAGATGGCCCAAGATACAGGGAGATGGTCAGCGACAGCCTCCAACATACCTCCGAGGGTGCCCAAGACGGACAAAGACAGCTCCAAGCGGTTCTGGAGCCCCCCCCCCCAAAGGAACTTCCCAAGAGGCCCAAATCGCTCCAAAACCGATTTGAAATCGAGTGGTGCTGCCTTCTCGCCTTCTCGCCCCCCCATAGGCCTAGGCCTCTGAGGCCTTCAGATGGCCCCAGCGATCTCCAAGATGAGCCCAAGGGGGCCCAAAGACAGCCGGGGAGGCCCCGAAGAGCGCCCCGAGAAGCATGCGTTCTGCTTCCGATGGCGGGGCCTGAGGATCGCCCCAAGAACGCCCCACAGACGCCCCCAAAAAGAGCCCCAAGAGGGCCTCGAGACCCCCCAAAACAGCCCCAGGAGGGCCCCGAAACAAGCCCAAGTGGACTCCAAGAGAACCCAAGAGGGCCCCAAGGAGACCCCAAGATAGCCCCAAAAATCCTCCAAAAGACTCTCACAACAAAAGATCAGCAAAGACCTCCTTGTCGTCCTCATTCTTCATCTCCCCTTCCTCCTCCTCCTCCTCCCCCTCCTCCTCCTCCTCCTCCTCCCCCTTCTCCTCCTCCTTCTCCTCCTCCTCCTCATAAATAACTTCTCTCTGTCGCACCCCGAGGCCAGCTTTTAAGACGGGCCGGGCGTTTCGCCTGAGACTTCCTCATCATGTATGATGCTGAAGCTTAAACGCTGACAGCAGTTTCAAAAAAGTAGGGCGGCCCGTCTTCAAAATGTGGCTCTCGTCTTAGCGCCGCACCCACTCGTTTTAACAAGTTGCAAGAGTTTCACGGATTGAAAGCAGCCCGTTCTCAAAATGTGGCTCTCGCCTTAGAGCCGCGCACATTCGCTCTAAAAAGTTGAAAGGGTTTCACGGATTGAGGGCGGCTCCTTTTCAAAATGTGGCTCTCGCCTTAGCGCCGCGCACATTCATCTTCAAAATTGCAAGAGCTTCACGGAATGAGGGCGGTTCCTTTTCAAAATGTGGCTCTCGCCTTAGCGCCGCGCACGTTCGTTGTTTCATTTCCGAGAATTTCAGGGATTCCCATGATCAGTAGACATGGTGTTTTGGAAGAACTCCGGATTATGAGGGTCCAACAAGTACGTTGATTCGTCGTTCTGCAATCCCAGGAGTGGCTTTCTGGCACGATTCGGGATCGCCAAGACGCAACTGTCAGGTTGATCCGTGGCGTTGGAATCCCGAGAACAATGTTTTGGCATGCTTCAGGGTCTTCAAACGACTGTCTTCCAACGAGGCAGTTCCCTCAGTGGAAATGAACCTCTGTAGGGGCCTGTGAAGAGGCAGCTTGGAGGGAGGGTATATTCCAACATCGTTGACAATTCTTGGGTTTACGCTGGTCCTCCTCCTCCCCCTCCTCGTAGTCCTCTTCCTCTTCCTGGTTCTCCTCCTCATCCTCCCCCCCTCCTTCAACCGCCTCTCCCAAAGAATTCTCATGGGCATCGTGTCTGCATATGCTGACGATGTGGCACGAAACGTCAAGCATGTGGCATTGGCATTGGATTCGCCGGGAAACCCTGTTGAATAAAAGGTTCGGCGCCGCCATGTTGACCGAAGCCTTGAAAACAGAATAAGGGGTGGATCGCCGCCTACTTGTACGTACCACGCCGTCCCCCTTCCATGCAGCCGTGGTCGGGATGGTATCTGGGCGTATGGACGATCGGCGTCGTCACAAATCATTGTCCCGAGCATTCCTCCACTACTTCATGGAAGTCTCCCCCTCCTCATGGACATCATTATCCTCATCGTGGTCTCCGTGCGAGTCCACCACGCATTCAATGTCCAAGCATTGCACAGCCCAGCGTGAGGCAAGATGGTCCACTGCGGTTCCGAGCAATCCGGAATGTACTTCGCAGGACCCAGACGCCGTAGCCACAATCTAGATCTCTCAATGGGCGCAAGGCTTGGAGCTGCGCACAGACATCCCCAAGAGGTCGGAGTTATTGGGGCGAGATCGAAGTGGAACGGAGACCCCACCACCAGGAAATCGCTTTCGGCTTCGGGTTCGTGTCGTGCTTGCGGGCGAGGCGACGTTGCGTAGGCGGGCGAAAAGAATAAACCCTCCTCTGGCTAGGGCGCAGCGAGGACAGAAGTCCGCCCGCCCCCCCCCGGCCGCGCGGCGGGCGGGTGCTGGGGGCGTCCCGCCATGGTGTCCCGTGGTGTCGCGTAGTGTCCAATGGTGTTCCGTGGTGTCCCGCGGTGTCCCGCCGTGGTGTCCCATGTCCCGATGGTGTCCCATGGTGTCCCATGGTGTCCCATGGTGTCCCATGAAGATGTCCCGTGAAGGAGTCCCGTGGTGCCCCGTGGTGTCCCGCGGTGTCCCGCAGTGTCCCGCAATGTCCCGCGGTGTCCCGCGGTGTCCCGTGGTGTCCCGTGGTGTTCCGTGAGATCGATAGTGAGATCGACCGTGAGATCGATAGTGAGATCGATCGTATGATCGATAGTGAGATCGATATTGAGGTCGATTGCGAGGTTGGTTGTGAGATTGATGTTGTGATAGTGAGATCGATCGTAAGAGGGATCGTGAGATCGATAGTGAGATCGATAGTGAGATTGATCGTATGAACGATAGTGGGATGGGTCGTGAGATCGGTCGAGTGAGATCGATCGAGTGAGATCGATGATGAGATCGATAGTGAGATCGATAGTGAGATGGGTAGTGAAATTGATCGAGTGAGATCGGTCGTGAGATGTATTGTGAAATCTATGATGAGATCGATAGTGAGATCGATTGAGCGAGACTTGGGTTCCCTTCCCCCCCCCGAAGCCCCTGATCACCCAAAGGGTGGTCGTATAGGTAGTAGCCTGGCCATGACAGACCCACTGGGCAGTCTGGGGCGATCCCAGCGGAAGAGGAGGAGGAGGCGGAGGAGGGAGGAAGAGGGAGGATCCGAGGCGACCGCCATCGCCAAGAGTAAAAGCAACCGACCCCCGAGACTTTCAAAGGGCGGACGTGTGATGGATGATCCGTCTCTGCACTAGGTTGTACGGCACCCTCCTTCCGCTGCCTCCATGTTGCCCCCTTCTCCCCGTCACCACCCCGCTCCCCTCCCCTCTGTCCCTCCCCATTCCCCCTGTCCTCTCCGCCCCGACCCCACTCTCCCCCCCATCATCCCCTGGTCAGGATGTCAGATATGGCGCGCGCACCTAGCTCGTCCCGTCCCCTCCCCCCTTCTCCTGTATCCCACCTCCGCCCACCACTCCACCCCCCTCCTCGCCCTCCTCCCTTCCCGCGCCCCTCAGTGCGCTCCTCCTCACCCTCCCCATCCAGTATCGGCGGTGGACAAACCTCCCTTTAGTAAACCACCCTTTAGTGAAAACGGCCTAGGACCGAAACCGACAGACCCGGACCCGCAAAAACGACGGCCGCGACGCCCTCTCGCGAACCGAAAACGGCTAATTCGCCAATCGAGGTGTCAGGGTAGGAGGTCTATCAACCTCCGACAATCAGCGTTTCTCGGCCGCCTGGCTCGCGCGAGAAGTGGCTGTGAGTGCGATCGCGCCGCCAGCGGCCGACTCCTCCGGTGTCCTCCGGGCGCCGCTCTCATAGCCGAGCCCGAGCCGCCCCCCTCGCCGTGGTCGTCCGCGCCTTCTCGCGCATGGTGCACCACTCCTCGGCCAGGGTGGGGTGGATCCCCACGGTGGCGTCGAACGCCGCCTTGGTGGCCCCGGCCTTCATGGCGATCGCGAGGCCCTGCACCACCTCGGCGGCACCCTCGCCGACCATGTGCACCCCCACGACGCGGTCGGCGGGCCCAGAGCCCGCGCTGACGACCAGCACCTTCATCATGACCTGATCCTCGGCCTTGCGGCCCGTTGGCATGCTGTGCCTCAGCGGGGAGAACTTGGTGAGGTAGACGTCGACGCTTCCGTACCTCTCGGCGGCCTGCTCCTCGGTGAGGCCGCATGCGGCTACCGGGGGTTGGCTGAAGACGGCGTAGGGGACGCCGTCGTGGTCTGGAGTCGAGGGCTGCCCGCCGAACAGCGTCCTTGACAGAGCGACGCCCTCCATGAGCGCGACAGGCGTGAGGCTGATGCGGTCAGTGACGTCACCGATTGCGTAGATGGAGTCCACGCTGGTCTTGCTATACTCGTCCACGATGACCCTGCCGGATTCGGAGTCCACTTGCACGCCTGCGCGTTCCAGACCGAGGTCGGCGCTGTTGGGCCTCCTCCCTACGGCAAACATGACGTTGTCCACGTCCAGGGCGGTCCCCCTGTCGGTCAAGAAGCGCAGCTTGCCTCGCCAGCTCCGCTCGATGCCCGCGGGCCTCTCGCCCGCATGCATGTGCACACCGCGGGCGCGCAGCAGCTCGCACAGGTGCACTCGCACGTCCTCGTCGAAGCCACGCAGCGGCAAGTCACTCCGGAACACCAGGTGGACCTCTGCTAGGGGAACGAAAGGTGGCATAAACATAATGACTCGGAAGTCCGTCCGGATTTCTCGGATCCGCGCTGGACACCCCTGGCGGCGCCTCCTGCGCCGCCCCTGGCGCGCTCCGCGCGCCAGGGAGGGGGGTACAGCGCCGATCCGAGAAATCCGCGCGGCCCTCCGAGTTTTTATGTTTATGCCAGTCTTCGTTCCCCTATCTGTGCCGTAACCGTGGAAGAGCCCCGCGAACTCCATGGCGATGTACCCGCCACCCACGATCACCAGACTGCGAGGCCGCTGCGGCAGGGCAAGCGCTTCGTCGCTGGTGAGCACCCCTGGCAGGTTGGCGCCATCAACCAGCGGCACGACGGCCCGACTGCCGGTGGCGATACAGATGTACCTGGCCGTGAACCTGCGACCGTCGACGTCCACCTCGTGCGGGCCCACCACGCGAGCGTAGCCCTGGTGGACGTCGACCGGTGCCGAATCCAACAGCTTCCTGTAGACCCCGCTCAGACGGGAGACCTCCGAGTCCTTGGCGGCGATCAGCCGCCCCCAGTCGTGCGTCGGCAGCCACCGCGCCGAGCGCCAGCCGTATGCGGCCGCATCCCGCAGGCTCTCCGGCAGCGTGCTCCCGTAGATGAGCAGCTTCTTGGGGACACAGCCGCGGATGACGCACGTGCCGCCCAGGCCCCCCGCGGAGTGCTTGTCGCTCACCGTGGCGAAAGGGAGCTCCGCGAGCCCCACCCTGGCGCCGAACTGCGCCGCGCTCCAGCGGGACGCCCGGACCCCGGCGCTGCCCCCGCCGATGGTTCGGCGGCGAGCGAGGGGGGGAAGCGAGAAGGGGCGTGCCCCCTCAGGAGGCTCGGAAGTCCCCCGGACTTCCGAGAAGCTTTCTCTGAGCCTTCCCCGAAGACAGAAAGAAAAGGCCCTCTCCAAAGGCGCGAGGGCTTCCGAGAAGTCCCGCCGCCTTCCGAAAAAGGCCTCCCCCCCCCCTCGCTCGCCGCCGAGATGGTGAAGAGGTCGTAGTCGTACGCGCCGGAGGCGGCGCTGCCCTCGGCGGCGGCCTCGGCGGCGGAGGCCCCTCCGCGGCCACGCCTCCGCAAGGCCCCCACGGCCGCGCCCGCGGCCGCCGCGCCCGCCAGCGCCAGGGCCAGGCATGCCGGCGAGGGGCGCGCCCGCGGCCGGCGCTCCGCCATGCGGGCTGGCGCGCGCCCGGGCGAGGGGCCCTTTGAGGTGGGCGCGCGATGGGCGACGGGCCGGTGGGCGGGCGTGCGCGGCGGGAACTTTGTCCAGATCCACCGCCCGGGAACCGACGTCCTGGCGCCCCGGCTGGCGGTGGATATGGACACGTGTGGGCCCCCGGGGGCCGGAACATGTCCATGTCCACCGCCTGCTGGGGTCTCCAAAAATTGGTCCTCCAGGCGGCGGTCATGTAGAAATTCCCGCCTCGGAGGGCGGACGGGGCCCGATGTCGGGGGCGTCCACAGGAGGGGGCGTCCAAGGGGGGGGGGGCGCGCAGCTCGTGGCCCGAGGCACGTGCGCGGCCCGCGGGGACGCTTCGAGATTAGAAGAGGCGCCATGAGATCTGGGGAGATGTCATGGCCCCAGCCATTGCTTTCCCCCCCTCCCCGCCTTGTGATCACCCCCCTCTTGGCCGCCCCCGACGATGGACAGGCACCGCATCCCCGGCGCTCAGTGACAGGCAAGGCCAGGGCCCAGTGGGCCAGACGCTGCGGGCGACCACCCGAATTTCCTGGTACTCGGGGCCAGCTTCTGCGACGCAAGTAGGAAGCCCTCAGGCGCACTGTCGGGACTGTGCCGTCCATTCTCTCCGCATGCTGAGGATCTGCAAAGGTCCCTGGACATCTGGGCCACAGTGAGAGCACGAGAAGCCTAATCGTTTCGTCGACTGTGCCAAGGGACAGTGGCGGCGTTTTACCGCCAGGTCACCGATGAGTGTGACCAGGCCCCTCGGGCAAGAAGCGATTCATGCTTATGCGCTTCCATTCTCACGACAACTGGCGTCAAAGCGGCGAGTGACAAAGGTGATACTCGTGGAGCACCATGACTGTAGGAGAGGGAACACCAGGCGGGGGCAGGAGGAGAAGAAGAAGAAGAAGATGAAGGAAAAACGAGGGATGAGCAAGAGGAGAAGGAGGTAAGGAGGAGAAGAAGGAGGTATGGAGGAGGAGAAGGAGGAGGAGGAGGAGAGCGAGAAGGGATGAGGGGTAGGAGCAGGACCAGACTCAGGAGGATCCGGACCGACCGCCAGAGGCAGCACAGCTGGGAGCTGTGGCGGAAGCTCGATCGCTCGCTCTTCTGCTTGAGGAGGTGCAGCTGCTTGCCCAGCACATCGCCCTCCGCCATAGACACGGCGTTGATGATGACCCGCTGCACGATGCGCACCACGCGGATGTAGAGGCTGCGCCCGGCAACCCACGGCAGCGACACGTTCTGGAGCACCCTCGTGGACAGCAGACGGTCCACGTACTCCTCCACGTCCCTGTCGGGCAGCAGGAAAGATCCGCTCACCGGCTGCGACAGGTGCTTGGATATGAACGCCTCCCGGCCAATTCTGAACGGGGACCCCTCCGCGTACGGCTGCCAAAAGACGGAGCTCGGCCGGCCACGCTCGCCGGCGTGCGGCGGGTCCTCCGCGGGCCTCTGCTCGTCCGCCCCCCGCGGCGCGGAAGTGGCGCTCCGGCAGCGACCATCCCGATCTGGCACCAGGCGGTTCACGTCGCCCTCGTCCAGGCTGGTGTCGTACCTGGTGGCGGAACCGACCGCGCTCAGGGCGGCGTTCACGGCCCTCCTGCCCGTGTCCGACGCCAGCTCCAGAGGCAGGCTCACCGCCCTCTGCAGGTCCCTCTCCAGCCTGGGGGTGAAAAGCAGACATGCAGATAGACCGCCACATTCCACCAGGCCGCCCCCCCCCCCCCGAGACTCGGCGAGCGCGCTCCTGACGCTGGACCCCGAAGCGCAGCCCGATCCCACCCCTCCCCCGTGGGCAGCCTGCGCAGGTCGACGAACCTGCGGCGACGCTCCCGCCGCGCCGCGGTCGCGGCGCGTGGCAGACGCCGCGCACCGCGGCACAGCATGCCCTTCTGGCAGGCGCGCGCGGCGCGGCGGCCCCGCGTCGAGCCGCTGGACGCCGCCGTCGGGCGATGGGCTTCGGAAGAGGCCGAGCGCAACGTGCGTCGACTCGGCCCAGGCCGTTCCTGGGCCCAGGACCAGGTGTGAACGCTGTGCTGATTCGGGATCCTGGGCCCCAGGCTTGCCTTGTCAGGACCGATTGTGCGGTCGGCGTCCCCCAGGCACGACCGTGCCGTCGCCATTATCCCAGTGGCGGGCGCGCAGAAGAGGGGTGGGGCGAGCGAGGTTCGACCTCCAAGATCTTGACGCATTTCGCGTTTTCCCCAAGGCATCCTTGGGGACCCTGGTGGCCACGGCTGGACGCAGCTCGAAGAAACGACAAGGACGGACCCCGGGAGGTGTCCAGGAACTGGCCTTGAGCGGGTCGGAAGCAGGGCGAGAAGGATGGTCATCTATGAAGGTACGGGGGATCTCCTTAGGGATCGGTCCCTTCGGAGGCGCGCGGGGAGGCTTCTTGAGGGCGGGAGGCTGGAGGGCCTCTGGGAGGCGGTGCTCCTTCTCAGTGGGCCGCCCCTCCCCCTCGCCCCATCTTCAGCGCCGCTGACACGTGCCACCCGCCATCCTGCCACGTCCGCCTCCCTCCTCCTCCGCCTCCCGCTCCTCCGCCTCCGCAGGAAGAAGATCCGCTCCACCCACGCTCCCTGTCTCCCTCACCCCCGCTTCCATCCTGACATGCTCCTTTCCTCCTTCTCCTCCTCCGTTCATTCTCCCATCCACCCTTGCCTCCGCCTCTCATTCCCTCCTTCCCTCCTCCTCCGCCTCCTCGTCCTCGTCCTTCTCCTCCTCCACGTCTACCTCCTCCCCCTCCTCCTCCTCTAAAATCTTCCTCGTCCTCGCCCTCTTGCAACCTGTTCCAAGAGGGCTCCCAACGGGGCCAATGGGCTCCCCAAGATGGCCCCCAGGGGCACCCAAGCGCATTCCAAGAGAGGTTCACTATGTCAAGCTACCAGGCCCCGACCGCGAAGCGCGAAGCGCTGTTATGCTTGCCCACTTGCACGTGACCTAGGAAACCAGCCTATGCTGCCACAAGGGCGAGTGCAGGTCCTCCTTCCGCCTCCTCCTCCTCCTCCTCCTCCTCCTCCTCCTCCTCCTCCTCCTCCTCCTCCTCCTCCTCCTCCTCCTCATGGGTAGGTCGAATACTTACTTACTACTGGATGGTCTGACGCCAGGATGGACACACAAACTCGTCGAAGTCGCCGTTACAATAGATTGCTGGCACGTGTGTTCCAGCTACTGTCCCAAAATCTATAACGATAGAACATGTTGCGGTGCACGAGTCAGATACATATCTGAAGGACCCGCATCGATGATTGTAGATTCAGGATGGTGGTTATGGCGACCCGCAGGCAAAGCATGTATTGACGCAGGCTCCTTGCGGTGACCCGGCGACTGAGATCGCAATGTTTTGGTATCGGCGCTAAAGGAGCAAGGGAAAAGACAGCGAGTATCGCCACGTAATCTGCCGACCCCCAGTTGCCGGGGGTGACAAGGCGATTGAGACAATTGGCTGTCACCCTCCCCAATTTCCCCCTCCCCCCGCCTGGGGTCCCAAATGCCGTTGGGGGGAGAGCGGTGGCCCTGGGAAGTCACTGGCGCTCCCCGCGTGCCATCGGAGAAGCAATAGCGGCACAAGACAAGAGAACCGCAAAAGGCCCCCCTGACGAGACAATAGTGCTCCGAGACGATACAGAAACGTTCCGAAACAGGTGGCCTCGAGACGGCAAGATATAATTCCCTCAAGACGCCCCAAGAGCGATACAGTAAGCCCCAAAGAGGCCCCCAACGTCAAAAACATTGACCTCCTTGAATTTGTTTGGGAGGACTGTTGGATTCTCGCCCTTTCGACCTTCAGACGATCCACGACAGCCCAAGAGGTCCTCAAGACGGCCCCGGAACGGCCCAAGAGGCCTCCAAGGAGGGCCCAAACGACCGAGGGCCCCAAGACGGCCCAAGAGGCCTCCCAAGATGGGCCAAGCCGCCCCCAACCGAGAGGGCCCCGAGTGAGCCTCAAGAGGGGGGACAGGGAACGACATTTCGAGCTCTCGGCCCCGAGATGGCCACGGACATCGGCAATGAGCTCCCAAGGGCCCTCCCCCACAAGCCCCCTGAAGCCCCCAAGAACCCCAGGCGAGGCCCCAAGAGGCCCTCAACACGCCCCCGAGGGGCCCCGAAGACCCCCAAAGACCGAGTCCACGAGGACGGCGTGAGCACGCTCGCGTGCAAGCATCAACAGAACACAGGGGGGTGCTCGGGTCGCGAGTCATCGTCGTCGTCGCCCATGTCATCCTGTCCCTCCTTTCTTTTATCTTCCAGGTTCTAAAACAACATAGGTGCATTGACGCCCAACCACCACCCCAACTCGACAAAGCCATCCCCAGGACTGGGCCGACCCAAGACGGCACAACAGACGGCCAGGCGGAGGCACGACCAGCTCACGACGGCACCTGCACTAGCTAAGGGGCGCTCATGTGGGCCCCCGATACCCCCAAGAGAGGCCCAGAGAGGAACGCGAAGATGCTCCATGGCCCCTCCCCTACGAGATGGCCTCATCTGTCCCGCCATCTCTGACGCCACCCCTGAAACATCCCGATCCATGCGCGACGCGCCACATTCAGCGCTCCCTCCCGAGCTGCGCAGTACAAGTGCTTTCTGCGCGGCAGCCACACCTTGAACAAACCCGGACTCTTGGAACGCTCCCCATGACCGCGACCTTGTCCCACCATCTCTGGAATCAACCTGGAGCCGTTTGTATAGACTCAAGCGCGACACGCCCCACATTTGAGTGCCCCCTCCCGAGAAGCGCGGGCCAAGTGAGCACCGTGAGCGGACAGAACCGACTGCGAGGGAGCCATCCCTTGCACAAGCCCGAACACCAGAACGCTTCCCACAAGCGCGCAGTGAAACCTTTGCCGACGCACGTTTGGCATACTTCTCGCGTCCCCGAGACAAAATGATGCATACTATGTTTCGTCGATCTGTGCGCCTGCCACGGAAACTGCTCGCCGCAAGCAGCGCATCACGGCTCCCGTATAGCAGCTGCGCCATCTCTCTCACCACCTCCGCCATCCGGCGCCTCATGTCCGGTGCACCGAGCACCTCGGGCAACAACGAGCTGCCGCGCGCCTGTCCATCTGCGCGTCGATTATCGTGCCTCTGGCCATCGTTTTTCCGCAACGCGCGCATGCGAGACCGCCCTCCCCGGACGCCAAACGCTGACGCTCAGTCCATTCCCCAAACTGTCGCTGCCCTCGCCCCGCGATTTCTCACATTCTCCTGCGTTTCCTCCTCCTTTTCCTCATCCTCCGACCCCCCCATTTGAGAAGGAAGGCTCTCCATGGAAGGACGAGACTCCTGTATCATTGTCTGGTTCCTCCGATTTCCTCTCGCCAGGAGTGCAAGGGCGTGCAAGAAGAGTCGCTGTCCTCCTCCCAGACATACAAGTCAGACCAACATGTCGGAAAACCATGTCGCCATGCACAACATACTATCGCATACCTCTCCCAAGGAACTTCGTTGGGCTCTTCACTTCGTCTGGAGGCCGGCGGAATGGCGCAAGCTTTGTGAATCAAAAACGCCGACCAGTTTCGGTCCAGCCAAAGGTATTATAAGAAGGCGCGACCGGTGCGGCGTGAAAAAAGCCCCTTTCTGACTTGCAAAATATGCCATGGACAAACAAAATGAAGCACCTGGTCGTACCACCGGAAGAACCAAGGATGCTGTAAACATGCCTGTCACTGTTCTCACGGGCATTCGAAAACGACGGCCGCATGGTCCTCTTACATTGCGAATCTAAGAAAGAAGTTCAGGAGAGAACACAGCAAGACGGGCGACGGTGTTCCGTGTTCGCCCTGGGTCGGAGCCACATGCAGCATGTCGCCAGAAGAAGAGGGGGGTCGGATGCACAGGTGGCACGGCTGAAGCCAATGTCCGTTCCCGTGTGGACCCGTTGTATTCTCATTCGCGGTGATAACTCGGGCGATGGAAACAATGTCCTCACCTCCGAACGAGGGAGCAGTTGACGTCTCTGCGTGCGGAACTCAGCGTTAACTATCGGGCGTGGCTCCGCTGGCAAAAATTGAGGATGCCAGCTGGCAAATCAGAAGTAGACCTGGCCGGCGGCCGCATTCTCCCAAACAGCACTTGTTTCCAAACCCCATGGCTGCATTGTGGAAGGAAGGAGGAGGGAGGAGGGAGGAGGGAGGAGAGAGGAGGGAGGAGGAGGGAGGAAGGGGGAGGGAGGAGGGAGGAGGGAGGAAGGAGGAGACGACGACGACGATGACGACGACGACGACAACGACGACGACGACGACGACGACGATGCCCGTGTGGGGGCCCGCCGTTCTCGACACCGCGCAACCCCCGCGCCATCGCGGTGGTTTGCTGAGGCTAGCCGTTTTCGCCAACGCGCACACACAACTACGCAGCCCACCGCAAGCCGCGCTCCACACGCACGGGTCACACCCACACAAACTCTCTCTCTTTCTCTCTCTCTCTCTCTCTCTCTCGTTTTCTCTTTCTCTTTCTCTCTCTCTCTCTCTCTCTCTCTCTCTCTCTCTCTCTCTCTCTCTCTCTCTCTCTCTCAACAACAACACCAACAACAACAATCAATTTAAGACTGTTCGTTCTTATCTGCTTGCGTGTCATTCAACATGCAGATCCCCAACCCTGGATACCCGCCCTCTTCGTCTTCGATCGTACCCCCTTTCGGGGGGTATATTCATTCCCTGCCACGCGTGGCTGGTAAAGCCCTTGAAAACGAAGGGTGGCAGATAACGGGGGAGAATGAGGACGAAGGGATCGGAGGAAGGGAAGGGAGGGGCAAGGAGGAGGGAGGACGATGATTTGCGCTGTGAGTGGCGATTCATATTGCGCCATGGCTTGCGCCAGCCATTCCAATACAGGTGAACAATAAGTTTCGCCATGGGTCGCGCCATAGACAGCGCCACGTACCACCCCCTTGAAAAAAAACATATCGTGGATACCGCCACGGGGGGACGTACAGCTGCGAACTGGTGTCAGAGGACAGCGAAAGGGCCACGAAGGGCGACAGCGGGGCTACGAAGGGCATGCGTATGGTTGCGAGGAAGTCCAAAGCGAGAGCGCGATTCTCCAATAAACTGTGAGGAAATATCAAGCGGGAGCCGCGATTCGGTGGTAAATTGTAAGGAAGTCCCCAGCGAAAGCGCGATTCATCAACTAATTGTAAGGAAGTATCAGGCGGGAGCCGTTGTTGGCGCGGGCCACGACGGGCGCGAACGAGCGGGGGCACCGAAAGGCATACGTATAGGGGGCCGCATAGGGCAGCGACGGAGCCGCTGAGGGCAGAAACGGGGCCACGAAGGGCAAAGAAGGGGGCCACGAAAAGCCACAGCGGGGCCACGAAGGGCAGGCATATGGGGCCACGATGGGCGCGAACGAGCGGGGCCACGAGGGGCAGGCATATGGGGCCACGATGGGCGTGAACGAGCGGGGTCCACGAAGGGCATTCGTAAATGGGGCCAGAAAGGGCGACAACGGGGCCACTGAGCGCAGAGAATGGGCCACGAAGGGCAGCGAGGGGGCCACGAATGGCGACAGCGGGGCGACGAAACGCATGCGTATGGGACCACGAAGGGCGCGAGCGAGCGGGGGCCACGAAGGGCAATTAATCCAGGGCCACAGAGGGCAGCGAAGGGGCCGCTGAGGGCAGAAACGGGGCCACGAAGGGCAGAGAGGGGGCCACGAAGGGCGACACCGGGGCCACGAATGGCATGCATATGGGGACACGATGTGCGCGAACGAGCGGGGGCCACGAAGGGCATTCGTATATGTGGCCACAAAGGGCGACAGCGAGGCCAGGCCAATGAGGGCAGAAAAGGGGCCACGAAGGGCAGCGAGAGGACCACGAAGGGCGACAGCGGAGCTACGAAGGGCATGCGTATGGGGCCACGACGGGCGACTGCGAGCGGGGGCCACGAAGGGCATATAATGCGGGGCCACAATGGGCATCGACGGGGCCACTGAGGGCAGCAACGGGGCCACGAAGGGTAGCGAGCGAAGGCGACCGCGGAACCAGCACGGGCAGCGAGGGGCATCGAAGGCGGGCGAAGGGCAGCCAGCGGCAACTGCAGTCCCTAACGGGCTGGTCGGGCGGGCATGCCCGGACGGGCGGATCGAGCGGGCGGGTCGTTGAAGCGTAAATTCTGCTTAAACCGCCATGCAATATGTAGCGGAAGCGCGATGTCTGAGTGTCGAGGAGCGGCATCTGAATAAATGGTGAGGATATATCATGCGGGAGCCGCGATTCGGTGGTAAGTTGCGAGGAAATCCCCAGCGAGAGCGCGATTCTTCAATAAATTGTCAAGGAATATCAAGCGAGAGACGCGATCCGGGGGTAAATTGCAAGGACGTCCCATGCGAGAGCGCGATCCTTCAATAAATTGTGAGAAAGTGTCAGGCGGGAGCCGTTGTTGTTGTAAACGGGGGGCCAACGACACAGTTTGACCCTCAAGACTTTCCCTGCTAAAATACAAGGTGCGAGCCCCGGGAAAGGCACTTCAATCAAAAAAACAACGTGCACCGGACGGGGGGGAACAACAATAATTATTCTTCAGAAATGAGAATTCAACGACAACAACAACAACAACCACAACAACAACAACAACAACAACAACAACAACCACAACAACAACAACAACAACAACAACAACAACAACAATCATTATAAGACTGTTCGTTCTTACTTGCCGGCGTGTCATGAAAAACGAATCCCCCACACCCTCGATACCCGCCCCTTTTGTCTTCGATCATACCCCCATTGGGGGGATT